CTGGCCTTCCATACAAACAAGTCACTGGCTGCATCACCCATTCCGTGAAAGAAAACGTATAACCCTCCACCATTTCTTTAAGGTTAAATACCTTTTTTGGTCCCTCTACTATAGGAAAAAGCCCCTTTTTAGTCCCTGTATCGAAAAAATCCCCTTTTTGATCCTTAAATTTTAAAATCCGACTCCTTTTTAGTCCTTCCATTAAATTTTGGTTGATGTGGCAAGTTAATTAATAGAAAATTTTATTTTATTTTTTACTTAGATTACGTGGAAAATCCATTTCACAAAAGTTAATGACATGGATAATTTTTTTTACCTTTAATTACTTATTTACCCCATATTCTTCCCCATCCTTTCCTTTCTCCGGTGATAAAAACTGTCAACAATTTCACCTGCACCTCTCTTCTCTTTAGTGCTTTCCATCTAGACTACGTCTCCTCCCAAGCAACAATTATCATTGCCTGCAAAAACAAAATCAACAAAACCCATAGCCTGTCGAAGCTCCGAAACACATTCCAAAACGACCTTTAGTCCACAAACCCCATCTTTCCCACTCTATTGTTCTTGTTAGCTATATAGAGAAAGTTGCTCCGCATGTCGATTGGCCACTTCAGGCTCCTGAAACACCTTTTGCTCAAGAAATACTCATTAATGTCATCGTAGTTACTCCAAGCAAAATGCGACCCAGTTTTGTTTTGACTATCCTCCACTTCCTTCCTTATCGTTTCGTAAAACAGCATCATTATGTTCTTCAAGAAACCACAATCCCCAGAACTTGAGGTCACAAATGGCATCCCCGTGTAATCATCGATGCGATTATCCAGAATTTTGTTTAATTCCATCGCCATGTGGTTGTATATATAGCAGATGCATTTTGGCATGAAGCGGAGGTTTGCAGATTCTCCCCAAGAACCCACGACGAACCCAAGAGACTAAGTTCACGATGAACCCAACTTGTGGGTTCACGACAAACCCAGGCACTTGGGTTCATCGTGAACCTAGGAACCCACGACGAACCCAGAAGCCTGGGTTCGCGACGAACCCAGGCACTTGGGTTCATTGTGAACCCAGGAACCCACGATGAACCCAGGTGCTTGGGTTCAGAACCCAGCTCCTGGGTTTGTCTGGAGGAAAAAGAAAAAAAAAAAAAAACGGAGAAAGGAAAGGATGGAGAAGAAGATAAGACGAACCCAAGCTCCAGGGTTTGTCGTGAACCCAGGAACCCACGATGAACCCAGGCGCTTGGGTTCAGAACCCAGCTCCTGGGTTTGCCTGGAGGTAAAAGAAAAAAAAAAAAAAAGAAAGAAAAAACCGGAGAAAGGAAAGGATCGAGAGGGTATATAAGTAATTAAAAGTAAAAAAAGTTAGGCCTGTCATCGACTTTTGTGAGGTGGATTTTCCACGTAATCTAAGTAAAAAATAAAATAAAATTTTTCGTTAATTAACTTGCTACATCAAACAAAATTTAACGGAAGAACTAAAAAGGGGCTGGATTTTAAAATTTAAGGACCAAAAAGGGGATTTTATCGGTACAAGGACTAAAAAAGGGCTTTTTCCTATAGTAGAGGGACCAAAAAGGATATTTAACCTTTCTTTAACCCATTGAAAGGAACAGATTTGGACTAAATCAAACAATTTCACCCCATCCATGGGTTCTTTGTTGAAAATCCTGGCATTCCTTGCAAGCTATAACGTCCATGCTAGAGCAAACCACACTGTCTCCCACCCTTTCCTAACTTTCCTGTCTTTAGATACAAAGCAATGTTGTTGAAAGGACTCCCTACAATTTTCATGCAAAACATACTGAATTCCCCACCATCTAAAGTAGAGCCCCCATAATTTTATGGCTACTTTGCATTTTAGAAAAATATGGTTCATATCTTCTAAAGGAAATTTGCAAACCCCACACACAAGATCATTATCATGGTTAAACACCGCCCTTTCTGTAGATTGGCATTTGATGGGATTCAGATCAGTCCTTAGAATCCCCCCCCCTCCCCCTCTTTTTTTTATAACCTTTACAATGTCTAGGGAAGTGGGGGATCACACTCAAGACCTTGACTTGAGGGAATGGTGCACCTACCAGTTGGGTCAAGAGGCCAGGTGCTCTTGGAACTTTTTTCTAAGGTACAATTTTAACCTTATATGTTATTGGATTCATTTAAATCCTTATATTTTTATTAATTTCAAATGAGGCCCTCTATTTCAATTGGTTTTCAAATTAGCTCAAATTTGAATTTTATTTAGTCTTCACAGGTTCAGTTGGACAAAACAATCTTTGTGGGCACATTCGTATGGTAGTAAATTTATTTGGGTCTTATTATCAAAGTGAACTGTTAAGCTTGATTATAAAGGGCTCAATTAAAGTTAGGTTTGACCGTGCTCAAAAAAAAATTTTTTCCTCCTTTTTTGGGGTCTCAACCATTGTTATCAATTCCGTTTCGTACCGGTCGATACGGTCGGTACGTACTGGTTTTTTAGATTAACCAAAACGATACAGAATGGAATTTTGTTTCGGTCCAAATTCGATGTACCAATTGAAATTTTGATGTATCAGCCAATACATCAAAATTTCGGCCAGTGTACACTGTCCAAATTAACAAAAAAAAAAAAAGGACCCTCCCCTTTTCCGGTGGTTGTTGAACCCCTTGCTTTGGTTTGCTTCGTCTTCTCCCATTTTCTGGTGGCTGTCGAACCCTTCTACTTTGGTGATTATCGATGATGAAAGTGGAGGCTGTGATGATGATGAGATGCAAGAAGATTGTTAAGATTGAAGTCCCCAAGGGGGCTTGCGGCTAGATCT